GGATACAGGTGCATGAGGCAGGAGAACTGAGGATACAGGTGCATGAGGCAGGAGAACTGGCTGTAAAGGTGCATGAGGCAGGAGAACTGACTATAAAGGTGCATGAGGCAGGAGAACTGAGGATACAGGTGCATGAGGCAGGAGAACTGAGGATACAGGTGCATGAGGCAGGAGAACTGGCTATAAAGGTGCATGAGGCAGGAGAACTGACTATAAAAGTGCATGAGGCAGGAGAACTGACTATCAAGGTGTATGGGGCAGGAGAACTGGCTATAAAAGTGCATGGGTCAGTAGAACTGGTCAGAGAAAGATAGATGATGATGATGGTCTGGCAGAGTGAATGAAACCTACATGGTGCAGAGAGTTGAATGCCCTATTCCAAGTGTGAAGACTGTAACCTTTATGTTTCTGTCCAGTCTGTCCTTGCTGTCAGTCTCTGGCTTGTAGTTGTCATGTGATCACAGTTTCTCCACAGTTGAGATCAGGAAGCTTCATGGTCAACATAAGTTCTCAGAGACGATGATGATGATGATGAACGGAACATATCTTTACTGGTGATGAAACACACAAAACACCCAAACATGTATGTACAGTCACATACGCACTCATATTATCTACAAACAGCTAACATAAAAAGATACATGTGTAGAAATCTCTTTATTATGTATGACATACAGATTAAAATGACAACAAATGGTCAACATCAATGGAAAACATGGTCACCTAAAGTCATCTGTGTGAGAACACACAAGTGTTTGCCTGTATCCAACCTTGTCTGTGGAATACTGGCAAAGGTTGAAACCTAGGGTCCTGCCAGAGCCGACCATATCACAGTTAGTACAATGGTAGTGCATACCAGGACACCACAGCTTGCACACAAACAATGGTACAGCCAACCCACATTGCAAGCTGGCACAATGGTACAGCCAACCCACATGCCAAGCTGGCACAATGGTACAGCCAACCCACATCGCAAGCTGGCACAATGGTACAGCCAACCCACATCGCAAGCTGGCACAATGGCACAACCAACCCACATCCCAAGCTGGCACAATGGTACAGCCAACCCACATCATCAACAAGATGCTATAATTGTATTATCAACAGTTACAAATTCCAGATGTGGTGCTAGTTATACTATTAACATTGATTGATTCCAGATGTGATGTTAGTTATACTATTAACATTGTTTGATTCTAGATGTGGTGCTAGTTATACTATTAACATTGATTGATTCCAGATGTGGTAATAGTGTTCACATCATTGAATTCCCTCTAACATGCCAGACAAATGATTAAAGAATGTTTACACTTTATCAGTAACTGTTTTAGTCATTCTCCATGTTTGAGCTGCATACAGTAGTACCCATGTTTGAGCTCCATACACTTGTACCCATGTTTGAGCTCCATACACTAGTACCCATGTTTGAGCACCATACACTTGTACCCATGTTTGAGCTCCACACAGTAGTACCCATGTTTGAGCTCCACACAGTAGTACCCATGTTTGAGCTCCATACAGTAGTACCCATGTTTGAGCTCCATACAGTAGTACCCATGTTTGAGCTCCATACACTAGTACCCATGTTTGAGCTCCATACACTAGTACCCATGTTTGAGCTCCACACAGTAGTACCCATGTTTGAGCTCCACACAGTAGTACCCATGTTTGAGCTCCATACAGTAGTACCCATGTTTGAGCTCCATACAGTAGTACCCATGTTTGAGCTCCATACAGTAGTACCCATGTTTGAGCTCCACACAGTAGTACCCATGTTTGAGCTCCATACAGTAGTACCCATGTTTGAGCTCCATACAGTAGTACCCATGTTTGAGCTCCATACAGTAGTACCCATGTTTGAGCTCCATACAGTAGTACCCATGTTTGAGCTCCATACACTAGTACCCATGTTTGAGCTCCATACAGTAGTACCCATGTTTGAGCTCCATACAGTAGTACCCATGTTTGAGCTCCATACAGTAGTATCCATGTTTGAGCTCCATACAGTAGTACCCATGTTTGAGCTCCATACAGTAGTACCCATGTTTGAGCTCCACACAGTAGTACCCATGTTTGAGCTCCATACAGTAGTACCCATGTTTTTGAGCTCCATACAGTAGTACCCATGTTTGAGCTCCATACAGTAGTACCCATAGTACCCATGTTGAGCTCCATGACAGTAGTACCCATGTTTGAGCTCCACACAGTAGTACCCATGTTTGAGCTCCATACAGTAGTATCCATGTTTGAGCTCCACACAGTAGTATCCATGTTTGAGCTGCATACAGTAGTACTCATGTTTGAGCTCCATACAGTAGTACCCATGTTTGAGCTCCATACACTTGTACCCATGTTTGAGCTCCATACACTTGTACCCATGTTTGAGCTCCATACAGTAGTACCCATGTTTGAGCTCCATACACTTGTACCCATGTTTGAGCTCCATACAGTAGTACCCATGTTTGAGCACCATACACTTGTACCCATGTTTGAGCTCCACACAGTAGTACCCATGTTTGAGCTCCATACAGTAGTACCCATGTTTGAGCTCCATACAGTAGTACCCATGTTTGAGCTCCATACAGTAGTACCCATGTTTGAGCACCATACACTAGTTAGTACCCATGTTTGAGCTCCATACAGTAGTACCCATGTTTGAGCACCATACACTAGTTAGTACCCATGTTTGAGCTCCATACACTTGTACCCATGTTTGAGCTCCATACAGTAGTACCCATGTTTGAGCTCCATACACTAGTACCCATGTTTGAGCTCCATACACTTGTACCCATGTTTGAGCTCCATACAGTAGTACCCATGTTTGAGCTCCATTCAGAATATCATAATAAATTCAGCAAGTCATATAGACTGCAATGATAAAATCAATATGTCATGGATACATTGTCTGGCACTCATATGTGACATTAGAACATGGAAACAAATCCCAGGTACATGTAACAAATGTACAGCTGAGCCAGTCTAACTACCAGAGCATCAGACAAACTACCATATCAAGACATGTACACCAGATCCTGTGTTACAGGCCAACACTGAGAATAGGTCAAATCATCAGAGGTAACTCATCAAGCAATAGATAACACACTGATTGATAAGGTCCCCTCAAATGTAGGTCAGTTTGACACACTGGACATGAGACATAGGTCAAGTGGACAAGTTCCTAGTTAATCCATCAAAGTATCTCAGACAGTGATCGATGGACAACACCCAGTGAGACAGACTTCATGTTTTCACTCCATACATTAGAAATCACACACAGAAACAAGTGAAGACATGCAACACACCATTGATAGACAGAAGAAACAACATGAAACACACTATGGATAGACAGAAGCGACAACATGAAACACATCATGGATAGATAGAAGTGACAACATGAAACACACCATGGAAAGACAGAAGTGACAACATGAAACACACCATGGATAGACAGAAGTGACAACATGAAACACACTATGGATAGACAGAAATGACAACATGAAACACACCATGGATAGACAGAAGAAACAACATGAAACACACCATGGATAGACAGAAGTGACAACTTGAAACACACTATGGATAGACAGAAGTGACAACTTGAAACACACTATGGATAGACAGAGGAAACAACATGAAACACACCATGGATAGACAGAAGTGACAACATGAAACACAGGTGTGCAGCAAAGCATGGTGACACCTGACCTCTGACATGTGTCACTCTATACAGCAGTGCAGTGATGACACCTGACAAGCTACCTGTTCCACAGAAGAGATGGGACTACAAACAACAGTCAAGCTAGTGAAGATCATCATCAGGTACAAGCATTATGTCAACAATGCAGATAAAAGACCCAGCTCCCATAAGCACCACTGATATGTTAGCATGATAGCAAACTCTGGGATCTGAAGACAACAGATCTACAAGCTCACACAGTATCCTAGTCATAATGTCCAAGGTTATATAACTATGTACAACCATCTTGTTAACATAACATGTATATCCTGCACTTGCGGTAGACAGAAGTGACAAGGTTATATAACTATGTACAACCATCTTGTTAACATAACATGTATATCCTGCACTTGCGGTAGACAGAAGTGACAAGGTTATATAACTATGTACAACCATCTTGTTAACATAACATGTATATCCTGCACTTGTGGTAGACAGGAGTGACAAGATTATATAACTATGTACAACCATCTTGTTAACATAACATGTATATCCTGCACTTGCGGTAGACAGAAGTGACAAGGTTATATAACTATGTACAACCATCTTGTTAACATAACATGTATATCCTGCACTTGCGGTAGACAGAAGTGACAAGGTTATATAACTATGTACAACCATCTTGTTAACATAACATGTATATCCTGCACTTGCGGTAGACAGAAGTGACAAGGTTACATAACTATGTACAACCATCTTGTTAACATAACATGTACATCCTGCACTTGCGGTAGACAGGAGTGACAAGATTATATAACTATGTACAACCATCTTGTTAACATAACATGTATATCCTGCACTTGTGGTAGACAGTCTCTGCTCTACCAGCCTACAACAGGAACCAGGCAGTTCACTTACCCACACATCACACAAATCAACTGTCACCCCACACATCACACAAATCAACTGTCTCTGCACATATCACACAAACAACCATTTCCCCACACATCACACAAACAACAGTCTCCCCACACATCACACAAACAACAGTCTCCCCACATATCACACAAACAACAGTCTCCACACACATCACACAAACAACAGTCTCCCCACATATCACACAAACAACAGTCTCCACACACATCACACAAATCAACTGTCTCTGCACATATCACACAAACAACAGTCTCCACACACATCACACAAATCAACTGTCTCCAACATATCACACAAACCAAAAGTCTGCACTTACAACACACACATCAGAGACGATGTAAACAGTCATCAAGTGTATGCTAGCGGTTGATGTCACTGCTGCCCCCAGCTACAACAGCATGTCCTCATCACTGTCATCACGGTAGGTGGGCGGACGTACTGGCAGCTGGCTGTTGTTAATCTCAGATTCTTCCTCAGGTTCAAACGGGTTGAATGGGTCATGAAAACCCTCAATGACCGAGTCCTCATGCTCCGACTGGGACAACTGAAACAGATAGAGCAATTCATATATGTTACTGACATCACAAAATGGGAGACAATGTTTTTATCTTACTGACATGATAAAATGTTTAATACATTCAAGCTGATGAGACAACTGGATATGAAAGTTTTTTTTATACATGTTACTAAGATCTTATGGAAAAAGAAACGTAATAGGAGAGAATGTGAAGCATACAAAGGTATATCACTATTGAGTCACGTAGGAAAAATTTACGCCAAATTACTAGAACAAAGAGTTAGAGCCATAGCAGAACAACAGCTGAGTGCATCACAATTCGGTTTCAGAAAAGGCAGACGATGCACAGATGCATTATTCACTCTGAGGCAAGTGTGTGAGAAAGCCATTGAGTATAATACCAAACAGAATATTGTGTTTGTAGATCAGGAAAAGGCTTTTGATAGAGTGGATAGAAACAAACTGTGGTCTGTTCTTGAGAACTACGGGGTAAAAGGACAGTTACTAGAGAACATCATAGCTATGTACCACGCAAGCCAAAATGCAGTAAAAACACAAGAAGGCATATCAGATTTGTTCACAGTCAACACAGGTGTGAGACAAGGATGTGTGCTCTCCCCACTTTTAACATCTATATAGACAGAATATCTAAAGAAGCAAGTTATGATACAGACAACATAGACCTTTATAATCACGAGGAAGTACACACATCAGGAGAAGTAATTGATTCACCCAATTAAACGAACTACTGATGCTGACAACCAGTGCTTGTTCTACCCTGAAGAAGATAGACTGCAAGACCACATTAACAGGTTAAACTCAGCATGTAGTAAATACAACATGAAGATCAATGTAAACAAAACCAAAACAATGCAAGTTAGTAGCCCCACTACACATACAGCTGAATGGTTCTGCCCTGAATCAAGTTAGGGAGTTCAAATATCTAGGAAGTATGATCACAGAAGATGGTAGAATTGACAGAGAAATAGAAACGAGATGTCAGAAAGCAAGTGCACTTATATACCAATTGTCACCATTATTAAGACATCCAAGCATAACTATGAGTGCAAAGAGACAGATTATTAATAGCATATTCATTCCAACATTAAGCTACCAATGCCAAACATGGACACTTTCTAAAGCCATATGCAAAATCACCACCTGCGAGATGAGGTGCCAGAGAAAAGCAGCCAACCTGACACCTTGTACTAGATTCATCGAGAAACAGCAGATCAAGTGGTTTGGCCATCTGGTTAGAATGCAGCAAGATCAAATACCATCACAAGCACTACATCTCAGAAGATCAACTAAAAGAGCAAGAGGATGGCCGTGGAAAACATGGATCGAAAACATTAAAGACACTCTACGCCCTCACGGCATGACAATAGCCAGCCAACGTGCACTGGATTGCAAAGTATTCCTCCCCACGAAGCTTAACAGAAGTGTTTTATGATGATGATGATGATGACTAAAATCTTAGACAGGAAAACAATATTATATTTCACACATGCTACAATGAAAATAAAAATAAAAACATATTTCAAAGATGTGTGTGAATGAGATCACTAGATAAGACAGTATTTCACAGATGTGTATGAATGAGATCACTAAATGAGATACAGTATTTCACAGATGTGTGTAAATGAGATAACTAGATGTCAATAAGTACTTAGATGTTTAAGAATGAAATCACTAGATAAGACAGTGCTTCACAGATGTGCGTGAATGGGATCACTAGTAAAGACAGTGTTTCACAGAGGTGTGTGAATGAGATCACTAGATGAGATAGTGTTTCACAGAGGTGTGTGAATGAGATCACTAGATAAGACAGTGTTTCATAGATGTGTGTGAATGAGATCACTAGATGAGATAGTGTTTCAAAGATGTGTGTAAATGAGATCACTAGATAAGACAGTGTTTCACAGAAGTGTGTGAATGAGATCACTAGGTGAGATAGTGTTTCATAGATGTTTGTGAATAAGATCAATAGATAAGACAGTGGATCATAGATGTCTGTAAATGAGATCACTAGGTGAGATACAGTATTTCATAAATGTGTGTGAATGAAATCACTAGGTGAGATACAGTATTTCATAAATGTCTGTAAATGAGATCACTAGGTGAGATACAGTTTCATAAATGTGTGTGAATGAGATCACTAGGTGAGATACAGTATTTCATAAATGTGTGTGAATGAAATCACTAGGTGAGATACAGTATTTCATAGATGTCGGTAAATGAGATCACTAGGTGAGATAACAGTATTTCATAAATGTGTGTGAATGAGATCACTAGGTGAGATACAGTATTTCATAAATGTGTGTGAATAAGATCACTAGGTGAGATACAGTATTTCATAAATGTGTGTGAATGAAATCACTAGGTGAGATACAGAATTTCATAAATCTGTGTGAATGAAATCACTAGGTGAGATACAGTATTTCATAAATCTGTGTGAATGAGATCACTAGGTGAGATACAGTATTTCATAAATTTGTGTGAATGAGATCACTAGGTGAGATACAGTATTTCATAAATGCGTGTGAATGAGATCACTAGGTGAGATACAATATTTCATAAATGTGTGTGAATGAAATCACTAGGTGAGATACAGTATTTCATAAATGTGTGTGAATGAGATCACTAGGTGAGATACAGTATTTCATAAATGTCTGTAAATGAGATCACTAGGTGAGATAGTGTTTCATAAATGTGTGTGAATGAGATCACTAGGTGAGATACAGTATTTCATAAATGTGTGTGAATGAGATTACTAGATGAGATACAGTATTTCATAAATGTGTGTGAATGAAATCACTAGGTGAGATACAGTATTTCATAAATGTGTGTGAAAGAGATCACTAGGTGAGATATAGTATTTCATAAATGTATGTGAATGAAATCAGTAGGTGAGATACAGTATTTCATAAATGTCTGTAAATGAGATCACTAGGTGAGATACAGTGTTTCATAAATGTGTGTGAATGAGATCACTAGGTGAGATACAGTATTTCATAAATGTGTGTGAATGAAATCACTAGGTGAGATACAGTATTTCATAGATGTCTGTAAATGAGATCACTAGGTGAGATACAGTATTTCATAAATGTGTGTGAATGAGATCACTAGGTGAGATACAGTATTTCATAAATGTGTGTAAATAAGATCACTAGGTGAGATACAGTATTTCATAAATGTGTGTGAATGAAATCACTAGGTGAGATACAGTATTTCATAAATCTGTGTGAATGAGATCACTAGGTGAGATACAGTATTTCATAAATTTGTGTGAATGAGATCACTAGGTGAGATACAGTATTTCATAAATGTGTGTGAATGAAATCACTAGGTGAGATACAGTATTTCATAAATGTGTGTGAATGAGATCACTAGGTGAGATACAGTATTTCATAAATGTATGTGAATGAGATCACTAGGTGAGATACAGTATTTCATAAATGTGTGTCAATGAGATCACTAGGTGAGATACAGTATTTCATAAATGTGTGTCAATGAGATCACTAGGTGAGATACAGTATTTCATAAATGTGTGTGAATAAGATCACTAGGTGAGATACAGTGTTTCAAAGATGTATGTGAATGAGATCAACTGATCTAATCATGTATGTACAACCTTTCAATATACCAACCAATCATTAACTTAAAGATCGTGTACATATGTTAAAAACATCATAAGCTGACCATGTATATGAGCTGTTTATGTATGTACAATTTAGGGATAAACTTACCCGAGAGTAGACAATTGGGTTGTCCTTCTGCTGTCTGCACAAAACAAAGCTCTTCAGCCGGGACCCAATCACAGCCCTGCAGATACCCAAATGATTATATACCTACACATGAGATACATGTCTGCATGTGAGGTCCATCAGCCCTACCCACACCCAACAGATTACAGACACATGAGATACATGTCTGTATGTGAGGTCCATTAGCCCTGCACACACACACACCCAACAGATTACAGACACATGAGATACATGTCTGTATGTGAGGCCCATCAGCGCCTGCCCACACCCAACAGATTACATACACATGAGATACATGTATGTATACTGTATGTCCTCATCAACTCCCCAGTTATTCCACAAGCATCAAATGACTGACAACAGCTGGTCTGCGTTGACTGATCAAACGTTCAATAGCTTGAGTGAAACAGTCTTGTATGGCAGCTCCAGGCTGCCCCCCCCCCCCCCCCATGTCTACAAGTCTGGATGGGGATGTCAAGTCAACTGTTGCTGTCTTTATCTCTGTGATATGTGTCAGGAATGGCAATTGATGACATCACTTCTGTACAATACAGGCCTAATCATAGCAAACATAGTGTCCATCAGATAATCTACACACCTGTTGCCTTAAACACTCGCATGACCAGCTCGAAGAGAAAGGTTAAACTCATTTCTCCAAAGGAGATATGGGTGTGTAAAGAGATGCAATCATGAATGTCTACGCAGAGATATCTCTGTGTACATGTCCATGGATGTCTATGTAGAGATATCTCTGTGTACATGTCCATAGATGTCTATGTAGAGATATCTCTGTGTACCTGTTAACGGATGTTTATGTAGAGATATCTCTGTGCACTAGCTTATGGATGTTTATGTAGATATCTCTGTGTACCTGTTAAGGGATGTTTATGTAGAGATATCTCTGTGGACTTGTTTATGGATGTTTATATAGATATCTCTGCGTACCTGTTTACGGATGTTTATGTAAAGATATCTCTGTGTACATGTTTACGGATGTTTATGTAAAGATATCTCTGTGTACATGTTTATGGATGTTTATGTAGAGATATCTCTGTGGACTTGTTTATGGATGTTTATATAGATATCTCTGCGTACCTGTTTACGGATGTTTATGTAAAGATATCTCTGTGTACATGTTTATGGATGTTTATGTAGAGATATCTCTGTGGACTTGTTTATGGATGTTTATATAGATATCTCTGCGTACCTGTTTACGGATGTTTATGTAAAGATATCTCTGTGTACATGTTTACGGATGTTTATGTAAAGATATCTCTGTGTACATGTTTATGGATGTTTATGTAGAGATATCTCTGTGTACATGTTTATGGATGTTTATGTAGAGATATCTCTGTGTACCTGTTTACGGATGTTTATGTAGAGATATCTCTGTGTACATGTTTATGGATGTTTATATAGATATCTCTGCGTACCTGTTTACGGATGTTTATGTAAAGATATCTCTGTGTACATGTTTATGGATGTTTATGTAGAGATATCTCTGTGGACTTGTTTATGGATGTTTATATAGATATCTCTGCGTACCTGTTTACAGATGTTTATGTAGATATCTCTTTGTACTTGTTTACAGATGTTTATGTAGAGATATTTCTGTGTACTTGTTTACGTATGTTTATGTAGATATCTCTGTGTACCTGTTTACGGATATTTATGTAGATATCTCTGTGTACCTGTTTACGGATATTTATGTAGATATCTCTGTGTACCTGTTTACGGATATTTATGTAGATATCTCTGTGTACATGTTTACGTATGTTTATGTAGAGATATCTCTGTGTACCTGTTTACGGATATTTATGTAGATATCTCTGTGTACCTGTTTACGGATATTTATGTAGATATCTCTGTGTACATGTTTACGTATGTTTATGTAGAGATATCTCTGTGTACCTGTTTACGGATATTTATGTAGATATCTCTGTGTACATGTTTACAGATGTTTATGTAGAGATATCTGTGTACCTGTTTACGGATATTTATGTAGATATCTCTGTGTACATGTTTACGTATGTTTATGTAGAGATATCTCTGTGTACCTGTTTACAGATATTTATGTAGATATCTCTGTGTACTTGTTTACAGATGTTTATGTAGAGATATCTCTGTGTACCTGTTTACAGATGTTTATGTAGAGATATCTCTGTGTACCTGTTTACAGATGTTTATGTAGAGATATCTCTGTGTACATGTTTACAGATGTTTATGTAGAGATATCTCTGTGTACATGTTTACAGATGTTTATGTAGAGATATCTCTGTGTACCTGTTTACGGATATTTATGTAGATATCTCTGTGTACTTGTTTACAGATGTTTATGTAGAGATATCTCTGTGCAACTGTTTACGGATGTTTATGTAGATATCTCTTTGTACTTGTTTTTGGATGTTTATGTAGAGATATTTCTGTGTACTTGTTTACGTATGTTTATGTAGATATCTCTGTGTACTTGTTTACGGATGTTTATGTAAAGATATCTCTGTGTACATGTTTACGGATGTTTATGTAAAGATATCTCTGTGTACATGTTTATGGATGTTTATGTAGAGATATCTCTGTGTACATGTTTATGGATGTTTATGCAGAAATATCTCTGTGGACTTGTTTATGGATATTTATGTAGAGATATCTCTGTGCATTTGTTTATGGATGTTTATGTAGAGATATCTCTGTGTACTTGCTTATAGATGTTTATGTAGAGATATCTCTGGATAAATGTCCATGAATGAATGAATATCTATGTTAGGATACCTCTGGGTACATGTCCATTGATGTACGGAAGTCTATATTGAGGTATCTGTGTACATGTCCGTAAAGGTATATGAAAGGATATCTCTTTGTACATGTGCACAGATGAGTGGATGTCTATGTAAGGATATCAATGTGTACATGTGCACAGATGAGTGGATGTCTATGTAAGGATATCAATGTGTACATGTCCATGGATGTGGGGATGTCTATGTAAGGATATCTTTGTGTACATGTTCATAGGTGTGGGTGTCTATGAAAGGATATCTCTGTGTACATCATGTTTCTAATCTTTATCAATGACTTGCCAAAACAAATCAAGACTGAAAATGCCTTGTACGCTGATGACCTAGCAATATGGCAGAGTCATGAAAATGTGGAAAATGGAGCCCAAAGATTAAATGGAGACCTTAGAAGACTGCACGAGTACTGCCAAAGATAGAAACTCAATGTTAACTTTACAAAGACGGTCTACACAATCTTTACCAAAAGCCATCAAGTAGCAAGGAAGAATATTAACCTGAGGTTAGACAAACACCAAGTGATGAAAGAAGAGCATCCTACATACCTTGGAGTCACACTTGACCGGCAGCTCAGCCTCAAGAACCATATTGAAAACGTAAGGAATAAGGCATTGAGGCGGTTACAGTTATTAAAGAGACTTGCAGGTACATCATGGGGATCAGACAAGGAAACTGAGGGGCTTATATCTAGGATATATTCGCTCTGTGATAGAGTACAACAACTCACTGCTTACAACTTGCTCCAAAAATAACCTAGAGACTCTTGACAGAGTACAAAATAATGCCCTCCCATTAATCTGCGGAGCTATGCAGTCTACTCAAACTGCTGCATGTGAAATCCATACTAATGTGGAACTCCTCGGGTTGCGGAGAGAAAAAGCCACTTTAGAAATTTATGAAAGATGCGTTAGAAAGAATCGTAACCATCCTAATAGACACCTTGTAGAAAACTGGGAATACAAACAAAAAATAAAGCACAAATCGGTTTTACACTGTGTTCATGAAATTCAGGATAGATAACACCTCCCAGAAAGACGTCATAGCATTCAGAATGTTGCAAGAAACCTACTACCACATGCTCGCTTTAAAGCTCCAGAAGTCGAATTAAATTGGTAGGCGAGGAAACCAAACAGTCTGACCCAATCGCGCATCACTACAGACCGTTGATTCTTACCCCCAAGAATGGATACATGTTTATACTGATGGATCTGCATTTAAAGCTACCATTAAAGCAGGTTACAAAATCTACATAGGTTATCCCGATGGATCTGTTAAAGAGATTTTTGATGCATGCGGGAAATTCTGCTCAAATTATGAAGCCGAAATAATTGCACTGGAAACAACAATATACCACCTAAAGACTGTAATGGATGTTTACCCTTCAAAGGCCCAAAATATTGTCATCTTCACAGATTCAATGTCTGCCCTTCAAGATCTGGAGGGCAGTGAACGCTGCAGAACTGACATAGCCAAGATAATCCTGGATGCTGATCAGCTTATAACCTCATACAACATCAGAATAGTGATGCAGTGGATTCCAGGTCTCTCCGGCACACCAATAATGACAGAGCTGACAGACTGGCAAAGAAAGGAGCAACACAAGAACAACCACTTACAGGGGCAACCCTACAGACAGCAAAAACACTTATAAGAGCTATAAACAAAGAGACTTGGTTGAACAGATGGGCCATGGGGGACACTGGAAGAGAGATTTATAGATATATGGCTGGCCCTGATCCTAATGACAGCATTAACCATCTAACAAGAAGGGACCAGGCCACCATCTTCAGACTTAGAACACAACATACTCCACTCAGGGGACATCTAAACAGAATACAGCCACAACACTCCCCAGAGTGCCAGCTATGTAACTACCCCTACAAAACTGTTGAACACCATCTCTTTGAGTGCTCAAAACTCAGCGAGACTAGAAGAATGCTACTCCCTCCGAGACCAGACAAGTGGAACACCTTGTATGGAGGAAAAGAACAGTTTGTGAAAACATGCAAATTCCACTACATGGCATTGGGTCAAAGCTCATGCGCTGCTGGATCGATAACAACAACAACAACAACATCATGTTCATGGATGTGCTGAGGTCTCAGCAGAGATATCTCTGTGTAAATGTCCATGAATGTCTATGTAAGGATATCTCTGTGTAAATGTCCATGGATGTCTATGTAAGAATATCTCTGTGTACATGTCCATGAATGTCTATGTAAGAATATCTCTGTGTACATGTCCATGGATGTCTATGTAAGGATATCTCTGTGTAAATGTCCATGGATGTCTATGTAAGAATATATCTGTGTACATGTCCATGGATGTCTATTTAAGGATATCTCTGTGTACATGTCCATGGATGTCTATGTAAGGAGATCTCTGTGTACATGTCCATGGATGTCTATGTAAGGATATCTCTGTGTACATGTCCATGGATGTCTATGTAAGGATATCTCTGTGTACATGTATATGGATGTCTATCTAAGGATATCTCTGTGCACATGTCCATGGATGTCTATGTAAGGATATCTCTGTGTACATGTCCATGGATGTCTATGTAAGGAGATCTCTGTGTACATGTCCATGGATGTCTATGTAAGGATATCTCTGTGTACATGTCCATGGATGTCTATGTAAGAATATCTCTGTGTACATGGATGTCTATGTAAGGATATCTCTGTGTACATGGATGTCTATGTAAGGATATCTCTGTGTACATGTCCATGGATGTCTATGTAAGGATTTCTCTGTGTACATGTTCATGGATGTCTATGTAAGGATATGTCTGTGTACATGGATGTCTATGTAAGGATATCTCTGTGTACATGTACATGGATGTTTATGTAAAGAGATCTCTGTGTACATGTTCATGGATGTCTATGTAAGAATATCTCTGTGTACATGTCCATGGATGTCTTTGTAAGGAGATCTCTGTGTAAATGTCCATGGATGTCTATGCAAGGATATCTCTGTGTACATGTCCATGGATGTCTATGTAAGGAGATCTCTGTGTACATGTCCATGGATGTCTATGTAAGGAGATCTCTGTGTACATGGATGTCTATGTAAGGATTTCTCTGTGTACATGTCCATGGATGTCTATGTAAGGATTTCTCTGTGTACATGTTCATGGATGTCTATGTAAGGATATGTCTGTGCACATGGATGTCTATGTAAGGATATCTCTGTGTACATGTACATGGATGTCTATGTAAGGATATCTCTGTGTACATGTCCATGGATGTCTATGTAAGGATTTCTCTGTGTACATGTCCATGGATGTAAGGATATCTCTGTGTACATGTCCATGGATGTCTATGTAAGGATTTCTCTGTGTACATGTCCATGGATGTCTATGTAAGGATATCTCTGTGTACATGTCCATGGATGTCTATGTAAGGATATCTCTGTGTACATGTCCATGGATGTCTATGTAAGGATATCTCTGTGTACATGTCCATGGATGTCTATGTAAGGATATCTCTGTGTACATGGATGTCTATGTAAGGAGATCTCTGTGTACATGTCCATGGATGTCTATGTAAGGAGATCTCTGTGTACATGGATGTCTATGTAAGGATATCTCTGTGTACATGTCCATGGATGGATGTCTATGTAAGGAGATCTCTGTGTACATGGATGTCTATGTAAGGAGATCTCTGTGTACATGGATGTCTATGTAAGGGATGTCTATGTAAGGATGTCTATCTCTGTGTGTACATGTCCATGGATGTCTATGTAAGGAGATCTCTGGATGTATGTAATGATATCTCTGTGTGTACATGGATGTCTATGTAAGGATCTCTGTGTACATGTCCATGGATGTCTATGTAAGGAGATCTCTGTGTACATGTTCATGGATGTCTATGTAAGGATATCTCTGTGTACATGTCCATGGATGTCTATGTAAGGACTTCTCTGTGTACATGTTCATAGATGTCTATGTAAGGATTTCCCTGTGTACATGTTCATGGATGTGCTGTGGTCTCAGCAGAGATATCTCTCTGTAAATGTCCATGAATGTCTATGTGAGGATAGTCCAGTGTACACGTACGTCTATGTGAGTAGATCTCTGTGTACATGCCATGTGATACACTAAGAGAACAGCAATAGCTTGCAGCCCTACCTTCTCTCTGGCTTGTGTAGTATAAGAACCAGCACACAGGCTACAACAATGGCCATGAACACAGACACTCCAATGGCAATCTTGGCTGCCCCGACAGCTCCACCAGCCGGTCCAGAGGTGGCTGCGACATCACCAGGGATGAATGACCTAGGGAATATGTCAACTCAGAGATGAAGTGAGGTGTGGTGAGGTTGGGTGAACGAACGAACGAACGAACGAACGAACAAACTTTATTTTTAAAGGGTTAAGAATTGGGCACGCAGGCCCGTCTAACATTCTGCCCTTCGAGGTCTCCCTCCATTCTTACATCATTTCATTCACACATCAAGTAATATTAAAAGTTAGCAATAGCATCAAAATAATCAATACAAGCACTGGAATGTGCACATTTCTAACTACAGTAAAACGTATTAGTTGTAACAAATCTAAGAAAAATGAGCGCTATTTTTCACATATGTTTTATCTTCTATGGGGGCATATAATCGGTGCTCAGATAATATTCGAACAGTTTCCGATTGTATGTATATGGACTAGTGGTACTTTTGATTTGCTGTGGTAGATAGTTCCACAATTGAGCTGCGGAATATGACAGACTTGTTTTATAAAGGTCTATCCTAGGTTTAGGGATGTGTAATATGTTTAGACGCTTACTATGGCGTTCATTATATTTGAACAACGGCCATAAGTAACATGGAGCCTTTTGAGATAATATTCTGTAAGTATATTTTGCCTTATTGAAAAGTAAACGTTCACGAAGCGGTAGTAGTCTAAGACCTTTATATGTTTCGGAGCTCAGTGTTCCATGATTGTTACTAATTAAGCGAATGGCGCGCTTTTGCAGTGATGTGAGTCGCTTGATAACAGAGCTGGAACAGCCATCCCATATTGTAGAGCAATAGTCTACATGTGTCTGGATGTGACAAATATAGAATATCTTTCTTGTGTGTTCATCAAGAAAGTTTTTAATTTTTGCAAGCTGGTAAACCTTTTTAGCTGTTTGTTTCACAAGTGCTTGTACGTGTGAGTTGAATGTTAGATTTGCATCAATTACCAACCCCAGTGTCTTGTGCTCAGTTACATTTTCTACTTGAGTGCTCCCAATGTAGAGTTGAAGCGTTCTCTGAGAATTTAAACTGTATAGTTTTTGCCTGGTCGTTATGAGCATAGATTTGGTTTTATTAATGTTTATTTGCATACGGTTTGCACTGCTCCATTGGACTACATTATTTAATTCTTGTTGTAATGAGGACTCTAGTAAATTACATGTTTGAGCATTTGCATAGATGGTACAGTCGTCTGCGAATAAATCGCAGGACGACGACAGACATAAAGGAAGGTCATTTATGTAGATATTGAATAACAGAGGACCGAGAATCGAGCCTTTAGGTACCCCAGTATTTAATTCAGTGGCTTGCGATAGTGATTTATTGTAACAGATTATTTGTTTTCTATTTAACAAAAAAGTATTTTATTAACTGTAATAGTCTAGGGTTAAATTTCATTGTTTCTAATTTTCTTATAAGAATGTTATGGTCTATCATATCAAAAGCTTTCTTAAAGTCTATAAACACTCCGCCACATATTTTCTCATCATTAACATTATGGTGCCATTTTTCAATCATGTTAGTTAAAGCAGTATGGCAAGAATAGTTTGGTCGAAAACCTGATTGGTTATCCACTATAAGTTTGTTGTGATCTAGGTGCTGAAAAGTTACATTATGAATATGTTTCTCTAGTGGTTTCGATAGTGATGATAACAGGGAGATTGGCCTATAGTTACCTGGAATACTACTATCTAATGAACCAGATTTTAGACGTGGATACACTTTGGCAATCTTAAATGCAGATGGAAAGTAGCCTTTGACAAGACATTGGTTGTAAATAAAGGTCATCGACTCACAAATAACTGGGGCAGCACTACGAAGGATCCTATTGCTGATTCCGTCGAAACCGGACGTATTACTGTTTCTGAGACTGTTGAAATGTATAAAAACTTCCGCAACTGTCATGAGAGGAATGTCAGAAGGAATGTCTTCAGGGCATTTGTTTTCACAAAATGCTGATAGCAGTGATAAATCACATGGACAGTTTGGCATTGTGGCTTTTACATTTTCTATATTGGCTTCAAAGAAATTACTGAAATCATTCGATGTTATATTAGATGTCAGCAAACGCGTGGAAGTACTTTTGTTTGTCAATGTATTGATTGCCTTCCATATGTCTTTGCTGTTTCTTTTATCTACTATTAGCTGTTTAAAAAAGTTCTTTTTTTCCTTACGAATGGTATACTGGACTTTGTTTCGCAGATTCCGGTATGTGATTATATCCTTCTTTTTATGCGCCCTATCTCGCTCTCTCATGATTGCAACTACCTCCTGCGTGATCCAAGGGGATTTAGTTTGATGTTTTACACGGACCTCCTTGACTGGCACATGCTTATCAAATACACTAGAGAAGGTTTTCAGCCAATATTCAAGAGCGTCATCTGAATCAGAGAGCTGATAAACGTGGTCAAGAGGTGAATTGAACAAGTCTAGTATGAATGCATTTTTAAAGCTTCTAAATTTGATACTTATATGTTTTTTGTTTGACAGTTTTTACGCCTTTTTTATTCCACACACAAATTACGGGGTAATGGTCACTCAGTGCTGTAGTGGGTACCTTGCATTCTATAATGTTGTCAGGACATGTTGCATAAATATGGTCTATAAGGGTTGACGACGATTTAGTTATTCTAGTAGCTTGTTTGACTAGTTGTTTGAGATTAAATGAGGTAATTATGTCTTCCCACGTCTTGTTGGATTTTAGGGCATTTATATTGAAGTCCCCAAGAAGTATAATTTCCCCTGCATTGTTGAACACCATATCCATCATGTTGGTAAAGTTGTCATACCATATATTATCAGCGCTAGGATTGCGGTAGAGATAACCAACTACGATGGGTTTGTGGTTTTGTAGCTTAACTTCTAAAAATATGCATTCTACATCGCTAGTCTCTAAGTCTAGTCTACGTTGGACATTAAGGGAATTACTGACGTAGACCGCTATACCCGTTTCTTGTTTCTTATGTGGGTCTCTTCTAATAACACTAAAACCATTAACATGTATATCATCATCTGTAATGTTATCATTTAATCTACTCTCACTAAGACCGAACATCTGAAAATTTTGACTAAGAATAAGGGACAGTTCGGGCAGTTTTCCCAGAAGATGGCAAATATTCAGATGACCTATTCTAAGCCCAGTTTTACTAAGCCAGTGCTCATGTGTGTCAGACATTATAAACTGCAGTGTGGCAATAGAATATAAGCTATGCCAGCACCAGCAAATACCAAGTTACACAAAAAATATTATTCAGGCAATACAAGAGTAAAAACAAATTTACAACAATAATATAGTATTGAACGAGAAAAAAAAAAAAGGAAAACAGTTAAAATGGAGATAGTGCAGAAAAAATGAATACAATGTTTTAACTCATATACACCACCACCTAACTTACAGTTTAGCAGATTTAAGCAGTATTATAACTAGCTCCAAAAATATACAAAATAAGTGTAGATTGATAGACAAATGACTGTTTATAAGTATGGCTATGTAACCCACTGCTGATCGAGTGGGCAACACAGTAATAATAAAATAAGCGCTTTAAAAAAACTTGTCCGACTGATTTGGGTAAGCTGTTTTTTTAGCAAGCGTTGTATCTGGCTGGTCTGCAATGTGCTGACATCATAAATGCATGTCGCAGAATTTCAGGATCGAAGCGCATGAGATGGTACAAATCTCGGTTCCAATTCAAAGGATATTGTCGGTCGGGTACGCTGTTGTTTCTAGCCGCAGTCCCCAGCCCATCAGTCCTGTTGACGGACTTTTCCCTACTTGGAAGTGGAGGAAAGGAATAATCATAGTTGCTACTCTCCTGTACAAAGGTGGGTGTGTGAGGGTGTGGTTGATTTCCACGTGATGGCGTGGATACTCCAGGGGTGCTGGAGGATCGAGCGTCCTGTAATGGGGTGATAGTATTCATAGTGCTTGGTTTGTATCTTTTGGCCTGATAATCAGATGGAGCAGAAACAGGTGCTATTGGCACTTCTGTGTTGGGTACGAGCTGTGTCCTGGCTGGATATTTTAAATTCTTGGCCAGGATGCTCGTCCCTAGTGTAGAAGTGTGGATCTGGTCCTTATATAGGAGCTTCTTCGGGGCGCCAGACTGTGCCGTAAAAAATGGTGTGTGGTTGATAAAAGTTAAATTATTTTGTTTACAAAAGATCTCTAGCACCTTATTGTTTCTGTCAGCCAGTCGACGCTGATGGCCAAACATCGGCGTCAGAATAGAAGAGAAAACTTTAGTAGATGAAGGATATGTACGACACAATGAATCCAGCAGCACCCGCAGCTGGAAGTCGGTGATGTAGATATTGTTCATTGTGTCATTTATCCCTATGTGAACTGTCACTTTCTTGATGTTGATGTTAGTGTCCAGTCTCTTTATTTTGTCTGCAAGCCTGTCCACCCCTGCACCGGGCAATGGAACAACAGAAACTAAGTCCTTGTCAGATGTAGACATTAGATCACTATACAGACCTTTTAGCAGTGAGTCGCCAATAATAAGGTGGGTGGAGTCTGGCCGTATTACTTGTGTAAATTGGTAGCCAGAGCGCCTTGCCCTCTGCGTCTGCCATTGTTGTCGTTCGGTTTGTACATCTTTATGCACCTCCTCCGATGTGTCTTGTAGGCGTGGAGTGCATAATAGTGGTGTTTTAGCCGGAGGTCTACTGTCGACTGACTGCTCCAGCAGCGCATCAAATCGATTGGTTATCTTCACGTCAATTGGATAGGCGCGCTGTTGAGCTTGTTCAACCTGCTCCTGTTGATTCGGTGGTTGTTTGGCTTCCTGTTGCTGACTGGAGGAAGTTTGTAATGTTTGGGGAACTTCAGTTTGTGTCACCATGTCAACTCCTGGCACACGCTGCTTACTTTCAATAATAATTTTTAATGTTTTGTTTTCCTCTCTCAAAAGCTGGATTTCTTCCCTGAGGGTGTCGTAGTCTCTATGTAGCTGACTGGAGAGAGTATCAATGAGTGTTGTTAAGCTAGTGGCTAACACTTGAGTGCGATGCTGGCAGTCGCATGTGGGATGCCTGTTAGACGGTGTATCCGCTAGGTCTGTGGGTGAATTTAACGGTTCCGTGGGTTCAGAATCTTGACGCTGTTCCATGTCTTGCCAACATTCCAATGGGTACTCAATAGCTAGCAGAACTGGTCGACCTGTAGCTACTGAGCCCATGTTCTGACTAGTATATGTAATGGCCTCTACTATCTGAGGACTGACGGCTGATGTGCTGGTTACCGTTAGAAATGTTGGCTGAGCAGGAGTGATGGTTTGAGTTAAGGTAGGTACGTTGAGATTCTGGGGTGAATTGAGAAACTCCTTGTGTATCAAGGACTGAGCTGTCATCTGAAGCTCAATAAACTCCTTCCCCATCCATGTCTCCAAAGCATGTACATTACCTTGGACCAGCAGTTTATTTTTGGTGTGGTACAAGTGAATCGTGTATGATGGCGACGATATTTTCGCCTCGACGTGCGCACCCTGTCTGTCTGTCCTGTGTTCAATATTATCGGTTTGGTAGCATTTCAGGAGGCAAGATCTAAAGGATTCATATTGAATGGTATTATTGAAGCAGATGCTAACACATTTTCCGTCACTTGAATGTTTAATAAGGAGCCCTGGGTCATTCAGACATTTTTTAAGTTTGTCCCGTAAGGCTTTCTCTTTGTTGAGCGAATAGTTCCTGCTGACCACAGGCCTTAAGCCGATACGCCCCCTCTTTGCTACTTCAACGGTCAAGCTCTCCCCGCCGAACATAACTGCAGGTGTACACCTGTGTCAAACATTCACTGACGCGTAGCAAACAGTCCCAAGCACATCTGGGTCACAAGACATTTTTCACAACTAACCAGTGATTGGTTGGATTGATTCATCCGTAGCACCCGATTGGCCCAGAGAATTACATTTGTTTCCATTGTTAAATTATTGTTTAAATCAAGTAGAAATTCCATGAAAATACACACATGAAAATACTTTTAAACAAATTCACTCTCTGTGCAGTAACACAGCGATCACAATAGTACGAAAATCCATGTTGTTTACACGCACTGGTTTCATAAAATAATCAAAAATGAAGAGCTCGCTAAAACACGTCCGCACACAGACGGAAGGGCTTCACGTGAGGTTGGGTGAGGTGTGGTGTGGTGAGGTGTGATGTGGTGTGGTGAGGTGTGGTGAGGTGTGGTGAGGTGGGGTGTGGTGAGGTGTGGTAATGTGTGGTGAGGTGAGGTGAGGTGGGGTGAGGTGTGGTGAGGTTGGGTGAGGTGTGGTGAGGTGTGATGTGGTGAGGTGAGGTGTGGTGTGGTGAGGTGTGGTGTCAGTACTCACTCTGACACAGAGGTGAGGTGTGGTGTCAGTACTCACACTGACACAGAGGTGAGGTGTGGTGTCAGTACTCACACAGACACAGAGGTGAGGTGTGGTGTCAGTACTCACACTGACACAGCTGTTCATGCTCTATCTGGCTTAACCATGTTTCCAAGTGAGGGCATTAGAATTTCACTGAATGAGGTGGGATCTCCCAGGGCTGGGTCTGTCATCAGTCCACAAAGCACAAACCCCACAGCTCAAGCATCTACACCCAAGAAATCTACAAAACATCTGTACTCAGAAACTGAACAATGGAGTCACACAACTGAATTCAGAGTGTGAGAATCACTTCCTCCGTTTTGCATGATACAGCAGTTGTCGATGAAGTTGAATGATCTGATCCATGATAAAGCAGTTGTCGATGAAGTTGAATGATCTGATCCATGATAAAGCAGTTGTCGATGAAGTTGAACGATCTGATCCATGATAAAGCAGTTGTCGATGAAGTTGAATGATCTGATCCATGATAAAGCAGTTGTCCATAAAGTTGAATGATCTGATCCATGATAAAGCAGTTGTCCATGAAGTTGAATGATCTGATCCATGATAAAGCAGTTGTCGATGAAGTTGAATGATCTGATCCATGATAAAGCAGTTGCCGATGAAGTTGAATGATCTGATCCATGATAAAGCAGTTGTCGATGAAGTTGAATGATCTGATCCATGATAAAGCTGTTGTCGATGAAGTTGAATGATCTGATCCATGATAAAGCAGTTGTCGATGAAGTTGAATGATCTGATCCATGATAAAGCAGTTGTCGATGAAGTTGAATGATCTGATCCATGATAAAGCAGTTGTCGAAGAAGTTGAATGATCTGATCCATGATAAAGCAGTTGTCGATGAAGTTGAATGATCTGATCCATGATAAAGCAGTTGTCGATGAAGTTGAATGATCTGATCCATGATAAAGCAGTTGTCGATGAAGTTGAATGATCTGATCCATGATAAAGCAGTTGTCGATGAAGTTGAATGATCTGATCCATGATAAAGCAGTTGTCGATGAAGTTGAATGATCTGATCCATGATAAAGCAGTTGTCGATGAAGTTGAATGATCTGATCCATGATAAAGCAGTTGTCGATGAAGTTGAATGATCTGATCCATGATAAAGACGTTGTCGATGAAGTTGAATGATCTGATCCATGATAAAGCAGTTGTCGATGAAGTTGAATGATCTCATCCATGATAAAGCAGTTATCAATGAAGTTGAATGATCTGATCCATGATAAAGCAGTTGTCGATGAAGTTGAATGATCTGATCCATGATAAAGCAGTTGTCAATAAAGTTGAATGATCTGATGAGGCCAGTATTTGTTCACAATAATTTGTACCAGATTTTCAACAATATACACCCTTCCCCACCAGTGTCACTGACACATATAAGTACAGTGATAAAGAAAATATGAACACAGCAGATGTCAAATGTGTGGGTACAGTTGATATTAAATATGTGAGTGCTGTTGATAGATCAAATATTATGTGAGTACTGTTGATAGATCAAATATATAAGTACAGTTGATATAACATATATATGTGTACAGTGGATATAGCAAATATATTAGAATAGTTGATATAGCAAATATATTAGAATAGTTGATATAAAAAATATGTGAGTACAGTTGATATAGCAAATATTAGTACAGCTGATATATCAAATAAATGAGTACAGTTGTACATCATCAAATATATGAGTACTGTTGTACATGATCACATATATGAGAGTACTTTTGTACATCATCAAATATATGAGTACTGTTGTACATCATCAAATATATGAATACTGTTGATCTAGAATAGAGAAGAGAAAAACTACTGACCCAGAGGCATCTAGGCACACAAGACTGGTCTCCCAGGTAAAAATGTAAGCACAGTCCGAGGTCTGGTAGAACAACTGTGGTCTGCCCTGAAACACGTCAACAGCCTGGTGTGACATCTTGGCATGGGATAACTAATGTCACTTGTGACACATCACAGATGCAGAGAGAGAGGGAGGGGAAGAGAGAGAGAGAGAGAGAGAGAGAGAGAGAGAGAGAGAGAGAGAGAGAGAGAGAGAGAGAGAGAGAGAGAGAGAGAGAGAGAGAGAGAGAGAGAGAGAGAGAGAGAGAGAGAGAGAGAGAGAGAGACAGAAAGAGGGAGATGGAGAGAGAGTGAGAGAGAGAGAGAGAGTGTGTGCATATGTCTGTATGTGTGTGTGAGAGAGAGCGGATGACATGTAGATGACAGAAAAAATACAGATAAGATTCAGCAGATGACATAAAGATTCACAGAAATGACATAAAGATTCACAGAAATGACACAGAGTAAACCGCATGATACAGATGATAGGACTAAGATAACAGGAAACAAACAATCAAGCAGATAGGATGACATAGATGATTTGACACAGATGATAGGACTAAGATAACAGGAAACAAACAATCAAGCAGAAAGGATGACATAGATGATTTGACACAGATGATAGGACTAAGATAACAGGAAACAAACAATCAAGCAGAAAGGATGACATAGATGATTTGACACAGATGATAGGACTAAGATAACAGGAAACAAACAATCAAGCAGAAAGGATGACATAGATGATATGACACAGATGACAGGACTAAGATAACAGGAAACAAACAATCAAGCAGAAAGGATGACATAGATGATTTGACACATATGACAGGACTAAGATAACAGGAAACAAACAATCAAGCGGATAGGATGACATAGATGATATGACACAGATGAAATGATACAGATGTCAGAGAGTAGGTTGTATGACACAAGACAGAGTATTTATGGCATATCCTAGAGCTATGATACAGATGTTATGTGACAAATGGCATGGGGCAGAGGACATGACACAGATAACGTAGACTATGTCTGACCATCACTTGTCCTCGGTTACAGATGAATTTGATGGTTGTTGTCACATTGTGCCGACTGTGGCTTCCTGCACACTTCTCAGGTGATGTAAAGACAACCTCTAGGTGGTCATCTGAAACATAATTGTAAATGTTAGTGGATCATCAATCACAGTGGATGATCAATCACATACACAAACATGCACAAACACATTCATTACATACATACACACCTATACATGCATGCATGAATACACACACACAATAACATGTACAGACACCCACACATTTACACTCACATGCATACATAAGAAAGATAGATAAGACAGAAAAAGAACAAAGTTTATTTTATTTTCTAAGGGTCACAAATTGGGCACGCAGGCTCATCTTACATTAGGCCCTTCCAGTCAACCATCTTTTGCACAGCAGTTGTATTTTACTAATAAAGCATGTTATGATCATATGATGATAAGCATTTTATGAATATCATAAAAAGACACAAAAGCATGAGTTGTAAAGTGCATGGAAAAACCAGTGTGTGCATACACACACACACCCACATACATACACCCACATACACACGCTCACCCACTCAATTACACACATACATGCATGCATGTGTATACACATATACATACATACATTCAGGCATACATACAGGCATGCATGGAAACACACAGACACTCCCACAGACACATATGTACTCACACGCTGACACACACACCCACAGAAAACACATACTCACGCAGACAAAAATACAGACACACACACAGACACACAGCAGGCATATATATACATACATGCTCACACACTGACACACATTGAGACATATGAAGACATACACTCACGCAGACAAACATGCAGACACTTACATACAGCCATATAGATACATGCTCACACACTGACACACATTGAGACACATGAAGACATACACTCACGCAGACAAACATGCAGACACTTACATACATCCATATAGATACATGTTCACACACTGACACACATTGAGACACATGAAGACATACACTCACGCAGACAAACATGCAGACACTTACATACAGCCATATAGATACCAACGCAGTCAAACACACAAACCCACACAAATACAGACAAAAATACAGACAATCATGCAGACAATCATGCAGACAAACACATACTGACACCTACACAAACATACAGAAATTCATACACAGATAAACATACAAAGACACTCACACGCACTCAGACAAACACATAGAAATACACACACAGACAGACACACAAAGACACATATACACAGCAAACACAGACATATACTCTTACATGCAGATACATACACACAACAAAGAGACACATACAAACACACAGAGACACACATAAAGACACCTATGGACAAATACTCTAGACACACGTGCACACAATACACACAGAGACATACACATAGACACATACACTCTCGCAGACAAACATACAGACACCACACAGAGACACATACATAAAGCCACACACGCAGGCAAATACACACAAACATACACAGGCAAACATGCAGACAAACATACAGACAAACATACACAAACATACACAGGCAAACATGCAGACAAACACACACAAACATACACAGGCAAACATGCAGACAAACACACACAAACATACACAGGCAAATATGCAGACAAATACACACAAACATACACAGGCAAACACACACAAACAAACACAGGAAAACATGCAGACAAACACACAAACATACACAGGCAAACATGCAGACAAACACACACAAACATACACAGGCAAACATGCAGACAAACACAGAGACACACACGCAGACACACACACACACGCAGAAAACACAGAGACACACACACAGACACATATACACAGTTACATATACAGAGCCACATATATCCAGTCACACACACTCGCACGCAGACATGCATACACAACAAAGAGGTACACTTAAACACACAGAAACACACACACAGACAAATTCACATACTGACACATACACGTGGATATACGTGCACGCACACACATTCAGACATATACACAGACAAACAGATGCATACACTCGTAGACACACAAGCACACACAGAAACACATGCGGATACACAAGCGGACAAACAACATACTCAGAATCATACATATACAAAAATGCCTACACATACATCCATATCACACATATACATGTTACACACACACACACAGAGCGTGCAAACATACTTATCATATACACCTTGTTTAATAATAATTTGATAATGCAATATGGATTATTAATTACATTCAAGGTAGCATATAATTGCTTGTAAGCATGAATTGAAAAAGTTTGCGATTAAACAAATAGGTAAGAATTTTTAAGGTCTTGTGGAAGTTGGTTCCACAAATGAGCAGCAGAGTACGCTAATCGTGTTTTATATAAATCTATTCTAGGTTTAGGCAAATGTCATAAATTTAGTTGCTTGCTGTTTGTAGGATTTGATTTAATTAACCGGAAAAGGTAGTTTGGAGTATTTTGAGATAACATTTTAAGAATAAATTTGACCTTGTTGAAAATTAAATGTTTACTAAATGGCAATAGTCTTAGATGGTCATAGAGATGATTTTGTTCAATATGTTTTCTATCTGAAACCAGACCTAAAGCATGGTTTTGTGGAGAACTTAGTCTTTTAACATTGGATTTGGCACAACTATCCCAAACTGTGGAACAATAGTTGACATGTTTTTGGTTGTAGGATGTGTAAAATACTTCTCTTGCATCTTCTTCTTGAAAGTGCTGAATTTTGGCAAGCTGATAAACTTTTTGTGCTATTTTCTTAGTTATCACAGAAACATGAGAATTCCAGGTTAAATAGTTGTCAATTGTAAGGCCTAAAGTTTTGTGTTCCGTTACATTACCAATAGCTAATTTATCACTTAGAGCTCAAGTATTGGCTTGTGCAATACTAATGTTTGCAACTTTTGTCTGGTTGTTATAAGCATATACTTAGTTTTATTTATGTTAACTTGCATGCGACTGCTATTGCTTCATTTACAAAGAGACAGACAGAGCGTAGATCAAACCTTGTATGAAGAAAGTCTTGCTAGTGAAAGAGCCCAAGTTTTTGGCTGACTTGTAGTCTGGAGACAACAGACAGATGGCAGCAGTCTGACATCCAACAGTGCTTGCATTGACTTGTACTGGTGCTCCAAGGTTGAACAGGAACTTCTTATTGCCCACTTCTTGCTCAATGCTGTGGTCAGATAGATAATTAGGTCAACATTTCATTGTCCAAGTAGCATTGAATGCAAACACAGTTGTACAATGATGTGACAATACTGTGTGTCTACAGGAGAGGCCAGCTAGTGTCCTTGCCTTATAGTTGGCAAGGTGTAGAAAATGGTATTTATGTTAAGAACTGAATGATGATGATGATGATGATGACAAGTTATTTCCCATTTCACATCAACATCATCACAAATAAAGAGGCATCATTGCTTCCCATCAATCAAACATATCAGTCTCACACTGCTTCACATCAATCACATTTATCAGCCTCACACTGCTTCACATCATTCACATATTTCAGTCTCACACTGCTTCACATCAATCAAACATATCAGCCTCACACTACTTCACATCAATCACATATCAGTCTCACATTGCGTCACATCAATCAAATATATCAGTCTCACATTGCTTCACATCAATCAAATATATCAGCCTCACACTACTTCACATCAGTCACATATCACTCTCACACTGCTTTACATCAATCACATTTATCAGTCTCACACTGCTTCACATCAATCACATTTATCAGCCTCACACTGCTTCACATCATTCACATATTTCAGTCTCACATTACTTCACATCAATCACATATCAGTCTCACAGTGCTTCACATTAATTACATATATCAGTCTCACACTGCTTCACATCAATCACATGTATCTGTCTCACAGTGCTTCACATCAATAACATATATCAGTCTCACAGTGCTTCACATCAATCACATTTATCAGTCTCACACTGCTTCACATCAATCACATATATCAGTCTCACACTGCTTCACATCAATCACATATATCAGTCTCACACTGCTTCACATCAATCACATATAAAAGTCTCACACTGCTTCACATCAATCACATATATCAGTCTCACACTGCTTCACATCAATTACATCACAAATAAAGAGGCATCATTGCTTCCCATCAATCAAACATATCAGTCTCACACTGCTTCACATCAATCACATTTATCAGCCTCACACTGCTTCACATCATTCACATATTTCAGTCTCACACTGCTTCACATCAATCAAACATATCAGCCTCACACTACTTCACATCAATCACATATCAGTCTCACATTGCGTCACATCAATCAAATATATCAGTCTCACATTGCTTCACATCAATCAAATATATCAGCCTCACACTACTTCACATCAGTCACATATCACTCTCACACTGCTTTACATCAATCACATTTATCAGTCTCACACTGCTTCACATCAATCACATTTATCAGCCTCACACTGCTTCACATCAATCACATATATCAGTCTCACATTACTTCACATCAATCACATATCAGTCTCACAGTGCTTCACATCAATCACATATATCAGTCTCACACTGCTTCACATCAATCACATATATCAGTCTCACACTGCTTCACATCAATCACATATAAAAGTCTCACACTGCTTCACATCAATCACATATATCAGTCTCACACTGCTTCACATCAATCACATATATCAGTCTCACACTGCTTCACATCAATCACATATATCAGTCTCACACTGCTTCACATCAATCACATATATCAGTCTCACAGTGCTTCACATCAATCACATTTATCAGTCTCACACTGCTTCACATCAATCACATATATCAGTCTCACACTGCTTCACATCAATAACATATATCAGTCTCACAGTGCTTCACATCAATCACATATATCAGTCTCACACTGCTTAACATCAATCACATATTTCAGTCTTACACTGCTTCACATTAATCACATATATCAGTCTCACACTGCTTCACATCAATTACATATATCAGTC